TTATAACCATAACGGCTTGCCTATAAGCTGAATAGGTCAATGGCGTTAATAATATATAATGTCTATAAACGGTTTTTGCTGTCACGACGAGCTCTAAACATTCGCCGTACGGACATTACTTACTTTTTAAACCGTAACGGTCAGTCAGAATATTTGTGTTGCAAGTTGGCAGATTAAAATATGATTTTTTTAATTTAATTAATTACAGATTAAAATATGATTTGTAGATTTCGTAATTCGGAGGATTTTTGGCGGATATTAATGTTAATGTTAATTTTTATTTTTGTAAAATACAGAAAGAATAAAGTGTTGGTGTTGTTTTTCTTCAATTTTTCGCCCTACCATACTAATTTTACATTTTAAATTATCATTTTGTATTCGTTTACTCGCATCTACTAGGTATAAACGCATACGGCAGTGTAGTAGCTATTCGATGGCTAGACCCGCACGCATTCATACATGAAAAACTTCTCTTCTACATGTCGGGCCCACTCATAATGTTTTTTTTTATTCAAAGGTAACATAATAAACTTCGATTTTATGCTATTTAAAAAAAAAATAAAAAATACACATTGTTTAAAAAAATGCAAAATATTGCAAAATTTCAAAAAAAAATTGCAAATTTTTTTTGTTGCAAAAACGGTATAGCCCATTGAAAAGTACGGAAAAAATCATTAAAGGTGGTTAAATTAAAATATTTAATAAAGAGATGAACAGAAGTTATGAATTTTTAAATAAAAAGCGATTTCACCAAAAAGTAATAAATCGATAAATTTTAATAATCCATAACTCTTGAATGAACAATCCTAGAGCAAAAAAATTTTATGCTATGATTCTTCGTTATAAGAACAACAAATAAGTATAGTTTAAACAAAATCGGTGACAAAATTTTTTTCACCTGGTACACTTGGCAAATTTTGCCCCATAAATGTATTTAAACTTGTAAAAATTAAACATTATATCCTAATAGTGATATATATTTTAGTTTAGTGTATTCATATTCGATTCTAGTGTGTATAATTAGCACCATTTACTGGTGAAATTTCTTTACGCGATTATTAAATTTGCACCAAGAAATTTTTTACAGTGTATATAAATAAAAATATAATTTGTAAAAAAAGCAATTGCCTTACTTTGTTAGGCAAAATTTATTAAATCTCATTTAAAAACGACCCTAAACTTAATTAAAAATTATAGAAAGAAAAGTTGGCCCAAAATTAGAATATTAATAATTTTTTATAAAAAAAAATAATATTTTTAAATTGTAATAGAACATGACTTGACCTATATTTTTTGTAAAGTACATTAAATGGGCCGTGCGGTGGATTTTTAAAGTATGATTCAAGTTTTTGAAATGCCGCCCTTAACGGCCGCCATTAAAATGTTTTATCTTTAATAACCTTCGATTGAGATTCACAAGAAAACTGCACAAAATGCATGAAAACTATTTTTATGTGAAAAAAAAAACCATAAATATAAACAACCTCTAACAATATTATCAAATGTCATCTAAAACAAGACTTTACTATAATTTTATCCTTCTAACTTTTATTTTAGCATATTCGTCAATTAAAGATGTATAATCTAGATGGCAGCTAATGTAGATTCAATGGATATTAATGATAGACTTCAAAGTTTTGTTTGGCTTAGGATTGATTTTTTTAAATAGTTTTTTATCAGTATTAATTTTGAAAAACTTCTTTCCCCACTAGCTACATATACAGGCAGTCTTAATAAAATTCGAAAAGTTAAAAAGTGTAGGGATACAAAGTAATTAAGTTATTTTGGCACAAGTAATTTAAAACATCTAAAGGTTTCATAGAATATTTGAGCATTCGGAATACACCACGTAGTTCTTCTTGTAGGTCATTTGCATTTATTACACTGTAGTGAGGTGAAAATATCACAGCTAAACGCTCGGATGTATCAGGTAAAAATTCAAAGATATTTCATTTTCAAGTTTTGGAGCACCCTGTATAAATTTAAAAAAAATAATTTAGCTGGATCCCCACATTAGTTCCAAATTTAAAAAAAAATAATTCTTGCAAAATTTGAGGTTAACTGATCAAAAGGAACATGTGTCCCTGAGTTTTTTTTAGATAATTTAGGAAATTCAAAATGTTTTTTTGTTGATTTTTTTATTGAGTATAATGGGGTAGTTAAATTTTTCTGACCTATACTTTTTATGGTTTTATTCAAGGCGTGTTGGAATATTAAACATTTCTGTGAAATCAGAATTTCAATTGGGTTTACCGTTTTCGAGATATTTACAAAAAATATAAATTTTTATGACGTCACAAACCTCGCCATGTGACCAACATTCTAAGATTTCTATTGGTTGAAAATTACCCTGTTGTCAAGTTGTCTTGTTAATAATTTCATTCGGTTATATCAGAAAATACCCGAAGAGGTTATGTTCAAATACTGTCAATGTCAGTTGAGTGAAAGAAGAAGTGGAGGTTAAAGAAAATTCTGAAATTAAAAGTTTTATTGATAGGTTTACACATTGAAACACCGTGTGAAACCTAATAAAATGTAATAAATAGGTACCTAATAACTGTCTAAAGCAGAGTTTAATATATTTCATAGAAAAAAGTGGCAAAATAAAGCTGAAAATTAATGAAATAAATTTACAAAAAATAACAGTAAATGTAAGTTAACAATGGTATTTATGATATTTGTGTATAGTTTTTATAAAACTTGCATCCCTGATGATGAGCATCAAAACCTTTTGTAAGATTAAAAAAATGTATGACAAACTTTTGGAGTGTTCGAAGATACTATGCTCTAGAGTATATTTTTGTACTTTTTGACAATTCTGGTTTAAATATTGCTGCAATAACGTACATGGTAGGTAAAGATAGTGCAGGGTCTACAAATAGACATTTTGATTAAAATTATTCAAACAGATGGTCACCAAATTCATTAAGTACCTATCTTCCATATTACTGTTTGATATTTTAGAGTCCAAGATATATCTAAAAGAATATAAAGAACTAGGCATTATACTAATGAAATGCATTTACGACAAAATATGATTATAATTATAGGTACTTACTTTATTTCTTTAAAAGCTCCAATGTTCAATGTAACCAACCATTCCTCTGCTTTGGAGTCCGTTATCAATAATATCAATTACAAATAACATAACAATAACATTGATTTTCAATAATCTAAATTTAAAAAAAAACATAACCCGAAAAAAAGAAACGTCAAAAATTCAATTATTCTTCTTCTTAATTATCATCTATCGTAAGAATCTTAAACTAAACACACTGGCAACCATAGAAAAAGCTGGCAACGTTGTCAATAGCCTAGTGACGTAATTAGGAGATTTTTTTTGTAAATATCTCGAAAACGGTAAACTCAATTGAAATTCCGATTTCACGGAAATGTTTAAAATTACAAAACGCCTTGAATAAAACCATAAAAAGTATAGGTCACAAAAAATTTAACTACCTTATTGAGGATATTATATTAAACGAAATAAAAAGCATAGTAATGTTGGCACAAGAGGTGAAAAATATAATTTTACAAATATTAATATACCAGTATACAGTGTGTCCCCGGATCGGATTGCCAAAAGAAAAGACTTTTTTAGACTTGATGCAGCTAAACCGAGCACGGATTTGGAATCTACGACCAAAAGTTTTGTTAACGTGTCCAAGCGTTTATCTGATATTTCAAGAGTTGAAAATTTACCTACAGTGTTATTATCTGAATCATTTTCGACCAAAAGTATTGTCTGGAGACTGGTACAATAATTTTCTATCGTTTTGTCCTTTCAATTTAAAAATCATATATAAACTAAAAATTTTTACTATGGGTTTCCAAAGCCGTAAATCTTACATTCAGAGAATTAATGGTAATGTTCAGAATATAATTGAAAAAGTTTATTTTAAAATTCTTCTCCTCTGTTAACGGTTCATCGACAGCTTTCTCATAATCAAATTGGCGCTTTTTCTTTCTGGATCTAACTTTAGTTTCGACAGAAAAATCTGTACTACATTCAAGCAATTCTTAATTGATCATACCCAGTTTGCCTATAATTTTTTATTTATTGTATGGTTTCTGATAACATCCTTACACAATCTGACAAATTTATATTCACAGATTGCAACAGCTTTGAGACTGAATTTATTTCAAATGAATGAAAGTATCATACCAAAGAATTACTCCACATATAAACTTGTAATTTTTAATATGTTTCGCCAACCCTCTTGCCTTAACTCTAGTTTCTGCATTTCTGTTGACGTCTTCGATTATTTGGAATAATGCATCATAAATCTCGCAAAGTTGAAATCGTAAAGGTTTTAACGCATCTATCCTTCTTGACCACCTAGAAGCACTTAGTGGTTTTAGAGTTAATTGTGAAACACATTTTGTTAGTACTTCCCAACGTTTTGTAGAACCAGAAAAAGTGTTAGGTACATGTCCCGGCGTTTTTTTGTGTGTCTTTTTGGTATTTCTCAAAATATACACAAATAATAAACCAAAAACTTACAAAAACTTAAATATGAAATATTTTAAGAAAACGAGGTAACTTTAAAAAAACTGATTATACCACTGGATTCTACGCCCAATAATTAAGTTTACATGTACCGGCGATTTTTTGTGCCTTTTTGATGTTACTAGTGTGTATTTAACAAAAATCTGCTTTATAAAAAGGCATCCTTACTACAAATAACTTTTATTCGGTAAAATATAGGTATTATGTTTTGTAATAATTAATAATAAGTTAGTTGGCTTAATAAATGAATAAATAAATATGACGGAATAGTTGATTATTGCGTTTTAATTTTAAGAGGCAAAAACATTTTTACTTGCTATTACCACTTTAAAGTCAGGAAATAAAAGATTCTATCAATGTATGTATTAAATTAAAGTCGTATAAACCGTGTGCACGACCACTTTTCAATCTATTATTTATTAAATCAGATTGTATCCTATGTCTCATATTATTGATTAAATAAAATATATCTATATTAAATTTCACTTACTCTACTGAACAATAGTTCTCTGCTTATCCTTCTAAAATTATTGTTTAGGAGCCAATACAAGAAAGGATTCCAAAAACTGTTGCTAAGCGCCATCCAAGTAGCCAGGAAGTCTAGAGGTCCTGGAGCCCTTGACCCTGTGCAGGCCGCCACCACTTCCTGTATTGTCCAAGGAGTAACCAAAACAATGAAGCCCAACGACATAGCCGCCATTGTACGTGACGTGGTTGTGCTCAGTTTACGTTCCTGAGTTACCAACTAAAAAACAAGCTTTTATTAAATTGTCAAGAGATCTCGTAAAATAAATAGTTCGATTTTATTTTCTGTTATTGGGCGTTAACAAAAAGTGTCTCTGAAATTGCCTTGCCAAGTTTGATAAATGGAAAATTGGGACAAACTACAAACCGAAGGGAGAAATTTATATTTCGTTATCGATTAGGTATATATTTATTTTTTTTGCAAGAGTAAAATAACAAAAGTATATAACATAAGAGAATTATAATAATTGCTGTTTTAAGTTTCGTATTTTAAAAAAATTTTGTGGGTCAAAAAAGTACCTACCTAAAAATTTAAAATTAATTTCAAATTTTTTATATTACAATCGTAATTTTTTTAAAACAAAATTAAAATTATATTTTAGGAAATTATAATTATAAAATAATAATAATTTAAATTAAATGCCGGGTGGTCCAGTTTATATTATCAGAATTTCATCAGCCGATAGTTTATCTAAAAGTAAAGCTATATAAACTATAGTTTGTCAAATAACCTATGGTATCTATCTAATGATTTTTAACAATTAACAGGGCAGACAATTTTTTCCTAATTATGTAGGATATCCATTGGATCATGGAAAATTTAACATTGTTATTATTAAATCTTATTGGCTATAAAAAGTTTGATCAATTCTCAAAATTTCACGTTTCTATCTTGAACGGTATTGGAGATATTAAAACCATAGACCAAGACCAAGACCGTAAACACCCGGTATATTTTAGAAGATATTAAAAACCCCAAAAAATATAACTGCAGTTACATGTATTTCAAATAGGATCCTATTGAAAGCAAAATTCGATCATAATTTATTTGACTGAAATTCTAATGATAAAGTGAACGATCTTGCATATACATGTGTATGTATTTTATTTAATTAATTTTTATATTATAATATTTATTATATAATATAATATTATAATATAAAAATTAATTAAATAAAATACATATACAAGATCGTTCACTTTATCATTAGAATTTTACCAGTCAAATAAATTATACCTTTAAAAATTATGTTATTGCTTGTATTGAAGTTGTTAAATCAAATATCATCATTACGTTTTCATTGATAAAAAATGGGTTTATATTTCACAAGCTTGCTTTAAACAAAATTAATTGATGTTTTAATTAACAGTGTAAAATAAACCTAAGGTAACACGTCGATGAATAATAAAATTCGATTCATAAAAAAACAACAATTTTGTATAATCTATTATTTATAAAAGAAGCGTAACACCTGGTAAATTTAAAATTTTTCCAATAAATCCTCTTATATTCCGCTACATCACCGAGCAAATTCTTGTCACGTTTTAATACAATAAGCTCTTATTGATGTAAAACGCATTTACTAGAACAAAACTTGAAGCATTTCCGGGATTTATGTTTTCTCAATTAATATAAATCTTCTAGAAACTAACCAAACGCGTATCAATTTTTAAACCAATATTTATTTTAGACTATCAAGCCTAAACAATAAAAAAATTAAACAGCGAAGACAAACAAGTATGTATATTATTATTTAATGAACGTTTTACCATTGTATTTGTTTTCTAATTCAATATCAATTTACAGTTATCGATAAAAAAAGCTTTTTTAGTACAAAGCTGCATACAGCGAAAAGATGTTTTTGTTTTTAGATTTGCATTTTGCGAATTCAGCGAAGACAAACAAGTATGTATATTATTATTTAATGAACGTTTTACCATTGTATTTGTTTTCTAATTCAATATCAATTTACAGTTATCGATAAAAAAAGCTTTTTTAGTACAAAGCTGCATACAGCGAAAAGATGTTTTTGTTTTTAGATTTGCATTTTGCGAATTCAGCGCTTTTAAACATTATTGCATGTTCGTTCTGCTTCTAAAGGGTTTGTAGGATAGTAAGTTTTAAATAAAGTTGACTTTGGTATTTTTGTGTTTTAGCTAAGCTTATAAGATAAACTCATTATAATATTAGGTATATTATGTGTCAAGTTTGATAACTGATTTGCATTATATTATTTAGAACATATTAAGCAAAATCTTAAGGATTATTATCCCAATAATTACACAGGTCGACAGCGATTTTGCCACAGGGTGTCAAACAACTTTTTTAGGGTAATTTGGGTGCGCTGATATATTTTATTAAAAAAATAGCCATATGTATACAAAATCTCAAAAAGAAAGGCTTATTGATCAAAATGATAATTAATTTTGGAATCAGCGCACACCGAAAAAAATAATGTAGTTGAGTTAACGTTTGCCTAAATGTCATTTTTGAAAATGTTGTTTCAACAAAAAACCTATAAAGGTCAATAGTCAGAGTTTGTTAAAGTTTATTTGTTCATTTGACAGTTAAAATATTGATTTAACATAAACTAATTTTTTGAAATAAAATGTTTCTCCTATTTTGATTTAATAGCTGGAGTTGGTTGAATCAAATACTGAAATTTTTAGGATAACCTAAAAAAACTATTAAATTAACGTTTAGTTGCTCTTTAAATCCAAAACATTAAATTTATTCATTTAACAGATTGTAAATGTTACTTTAAAATTCGTCATTAGACGGTGTTGATCACGTGATGTTCTTACATCTCGCCTCAGTTTGGCTTACGATAGGAGTATATAAGCTCAGGTAGCTGTTTGTTTTTGGTGTGTTCCACTGTGGAACTTCCAAAGTGGAACTTCCACTACACCAAATTTCCCGACACTGTTTATCAGTGATAAGACCCCCCATATAGGTCAAATCAGCTGTCTGTCGGTAGGTATTTGAAGTATGTGGAACGCACTCAAAACAAAAATTCTGACGAGGGAAGGTTCAATTCTTTCTCTTTATATTAATTCCATAATTTAATTAACCCAACATTAGCGTAAATTATTTTAATTTAACATTTTATTGGTGTTAAGTGAATATAATAAGAAGGTTACCTGGACATTTCAAGAAATTTACCTTAGCATCTTAAAAATGTTAGCACAACCATTTTCGAAATGTTTAATTAACCAGATTAGCAGATTAAAACAAATATTCTCATTTTGTTCATTTGACTAATATTTGTTGTTCAATTAAACAATACAATTTGACATTTTTAGATGGTTAAGTAAACGTGCAAAAACCATTGCTTGTGTTTAAAGTGCATAAGGAGTTCAATTAATATTTTCTTTGTTGTTTCAACAGCTTATTTTTTTCAGTGCACCCAAATTACCTGTGACAAGTTGTTGGCTCCTCTGTGGCATACAAAGTTTTTAATTTTGTCGGCCAGTGTTTATTGGTAGGTATCTTAGAAAAAAGCACTATTTGGACCTAAAAACTTTAATTTTTAAGATGGTTTAATATGCACTGAAAAAAATAAGCTGTTGAAACAACAAAAAAAATATTAATTCAACTCTTTATGCACTTTAAATACAATGGTTTTTGCACGTTTACTTAACCATCTAAAAATGTCAAATTGTATTGTTTAATTGAACAACAAATATTAGTCAAATGAACAAAATGAGAATATTTGTTCTAATCTGCTAATCTGGTTAATTAAACATTCTTGATAGAAATAGAAATAGAAATAGAAATAGTTTATTGTCATCAAAAATAAAATTACATGACTAGTCAAATTACATGTGAATAAAAAATTTAGAGTAATACAATAAAATAAAAATAAAATATCACAAAATGGCAACAGAGTGTATATACAATATAAAAACAATAAATACAACACATTTAAAATATTTAAGGTAGTATAAAAAAACACACACAGAGAAAAGTAATCTCTTGATTAACAGTTTTTCTTGTATGAAGTAAAATTGTCTTATTCGTAGTAACTTCTTGTTTACAATAAGAAAATACTATTATTTGGTTGTAAATCATGAGTTTCTTGAAAACAACTTATTGTTGTGATTAATTGTAAAGAAATATTTATTTAGAGCAATTAATTAAATTGTTTGGATATAGGTTGTATGGATTTAGTTTTATCAAATGTTAATACAAGCATATAATATCTTATTTTAACAAAATACTAGAATTGATACAATGTATGTCATATAATTAACGTAAACACGTGATTTGTTTGTTTCAAAAATACATTTACTTGAAGCAAATACATATTTATTTGCTTTTATGTCCACGTGACTCGCGGAGCCAATTAGAGCATTTGACTCCAACGACAAAGACGCTTGTCCGGCTGCCGGCAGCATTTGCAAACAAACTCGCAGAGCGTCCTTGGCAAAGCGTTAAGACTCTTAACTTAAGAGAAGGAGGTGTTTAATCAACGGTTATAGTTTTGTGTTTAAGTGCTTATGATTAATAGTATGGAAGAATTCTTCAAAGAAAATAATTTAACCCATTTGCTTTTTAGTTTTGTTGGTAAGTAAAAGTGATTTAGTTAATTAAAATTGTGTGTACCTAGGTAGTTTGGAAACTACAAAGTTATTTGATAATATGGGTACCTATTTTATTTTGGATCATGCATGTCTCAGACTTGACTTGTTACTTTTAAATATAATTGCACATTTTACTTACAGGCCATAAACTAAAAATAAACCGTTTCTTTTTGTATTTAACAAGTGCAAGTAATTTTGGTTGGAAAACTATATGTATTTGTTTTTAAACTATAGGTAGGTGTTTTCAACAAAGATACCTATCTGATAATAATAAATTAAGTTTTTGAAAATGTTCAAATGTCCCATAAATATATTTCCTGAATTAATGCGAACACGTTTAAGGTTCTGCTGAAAAATTGCTTGTTTTGACTTATCCTCTTATGACTTTTACCCACAGACTTGGTGTATTTTATTAATGCCGTGCACTAATATTTACACTGAACTTCAGTGACTGAAGTATTTTTTGTTCCTATTTTTGTCCGCTCATATATTATATGTTTTGTTTATTGTTAAAGTGTACACTTGTTTTGTTCAAATAAAAAATATTGGAATAAACGTTTTTTAATTTAATTTTCCCGACCA